GAGTGAGGTGAATGGAAGAGAAGAAGTACCAACATGGAGCTGGGAATCTGAAGGATCTGGAGAGATTCTGAATGAAAGAATCTTCTCTGATCTCTTGTCAGGTGTTCTCCAAACTCATCAGGTGTTATAGAAGAAAACTCAGAGCTGTTATATTGGGAAAAATGACGTTGCAATAATTGAGTGTCAATAATTGTGGCCAACGTGAACTAGAGAAAAACATTTATTTCATAACAAGATTTTCCCCACACTTTCTATTGTTTCACTTCAATGAAACGTTAGAATTTTGTGAATTCTTTTAATGAAAGATCAAAAGGATAAATGATGCAGATTTATTTTCACAGCCACATTTGCTCATATTTACCAAAAAAAATAAGGTTCCCAACTCTAATTAACAGCCCTCTCGACTAAGTCTTTCTTTTTCTATAGCAATCATGCATTATTTACATAATCAAAAGCATGCTATCACAATCCTCTTTGATACTGACTTTATGCCTGAAGCCATTTTTACCGCACTGAGTGGTAACTGATATAATTCAATTGTGGCGAACGCTGCAGGACAGACATTAACATGACTCACAAAAGAGAGAGATTTCAAAGAGACACTAGATTTCATTGTTTTGTGTTGCACAAACATGATGACAGCTATAGTTGCAGTGTAATTCCCTGATGAATGCCTGACTAGTAAGCTCAAACTATACAAAGTGTTACTGAGAGAAAGAGAGAGAACAGAGCAGAAACAAGCTGTCCTATGGTTTGTAAATGCAGCAATCTGACAAAAACAGCACCCTTTCTTTCTTGATTTTGAAAGTGTGGTGCAACATCTACTGGCTGCAAAAAGTATTGCCTTTTTTGCAAAAAGCTCTATATTGGAGCCCTACAACCTGCTATCTATTTTGTCAAAACTGCTAGCCTAAGCTAATATATTACAGATTTATTTTAAAGGAACAGTTCACCCAAAAATTCTGCCATCATTCACTCACCCTCATGTCATTCCAAACTTGTATGCATTTCTTTCTTCTGCTGAACACAAAGGCCGATATAGCACTTTATTTTACAGTACATGTACTTCCCTGGTACATACATGGTACATATTTTGTACCTACAGGCAAATGAGTGGTAACACAAGGTACTTACCTGAAGTGTATTTACATGGTAACAAATAAGAAACACGGCTGTGTCGTACATGCATGGTAATTATTTTGTACATACAGACAAGTGTGGGTAATAACAGTTACTTACAGGTAGTGCTAATGAATATACTTACTAATGTATATACATGGTAAATATGTAGTACTTATGGACAAGTGGGTACAAACAGGCACGTCCTTACAGTATCCATATATGGTAACTAATAAGACACATTGCTGTACATACTAATGATATACCACAATGTTATCCACATAATGACAGCCGTGTTTCTTATTTGTTACCATGTACATGTAACGGAGGCCAGCGAGTAGGTGCTGTGCAGGTAAACCTTGTTGTTAGTGCGTCCACCTCCCACGCCGGAGACCCGGGTTCGAGACCCACTCGGATCAAGAATGAGGTGTGGCGGTGAGGACCCGGGAGAGTGGTTACATTGGTGCCGTGACCCGGATGGGAGTGAGGTTTAGAGGTTTAGGTACAGCCTCCTTGTTAGTGTGTCCGCCTCTCATGCCGGAGACCCACTCGGAACAAGAACGAGGTGTGGCGGTGAGGACCCGGGAGAGGGGTTACATTGGTGCCGTGACCCAGATGGGAGTGAGGTTTAGGGGTTTAGGTTTAGGTTTAGGTACAGCCTCCTTGTTAGTGCGTCCGCCTCCCATGCCGGAGACCCACTCGGAACAAGAACGAGGTGTGGCGGTGAGGACCCGGGAGAGAGGGGTTACATACATACTCTTCAGGTAAGTACCTTGTTTTACCACTCATTTGCTTGTAGGTACAAGATATTTGCCATGTATGTACCAGGGAAGTGCACGTACTGTAAAATAAAGTGCTACCAGATATTCTGGAGAATGTGGATAACCGAACAGTTTTGTGTTCCGTTGGCTTCCATATATTTTTTGTACATAATATGTAAGTCAATGGCACCCGAAACCATTTGGTTAATAACATTCTTCAAAATATCTTCTTTTGTGTTCCACAGAAAACAAGCAAACAAACAAAAACAAAAAAAAGTCAGGTTTAGAACCAGTGTTCTTTTTTAGTAACACTGAGATACTATTGTATTTTTTATTAATATTTTGAATTCAATTCAATTCAAATTTATTTGTATAGCACTTTTCACAATACACATTGTTTCAAAGCAGCTTTACAGAAAATGCATGTGTCTACATTACAATTACAATTCGTCATCATTAATTGACTTAGTTTTATTAACTTTTTATTTTCCTACTTTCATTTTCATTTTCAAAAATGAACATTTTAGTATTTTTTTTGTTTGTTTATTTTGACATTTTTATTATTTATTAATATCAATTTTATTATTTAGTTTTAATAGTATTAAATTAAACTAAAAGAAAATTTGAAATGGTGTCTTGTTGACAGTTGAAATAAACCTTGTAAGTTTCAATAAAATAAAATATACAAATCTTAAACTTTATTTCAGTTCATGTTTAATTTATACAATTATTTGTATGGTTTTAATTAATTATAATGACCCTGTTTGTCTTTTTTATGTTTATATAATTTTCAGTTTAAATGAGAAATTAGCTGAAATTAAATATAATATATTTAGTTCATATTTATTTGATAAGTAACTATTTTTCATGGTGTTAGTTTTGGTTTACTATAATAGCCCTGTTTAGAACAACATGAGAGTGAGTAAATGATGGCAGAATTGTAATTTTGGATTATTCCTTTAAATTGATGGAAGTTGCTAAGTAGTTTGCAAGTATTGGAGACGTAAGTAGTCTGCATTGCATCATCAATACATATTGCATATTTGCATAAAGCTCAGTCACTACTGACATCCCAAATCATCAATTCACACTGAAACTGCATGATGTCCAATAGTTTTGTGGGTGCAAATCAATGTCGGTGTGAATGCAGCCAGAATTCTAAAATGATGGCAAAATGAGACCCATTTTTTCATCCAATAGACTTTATTACATGCAGTTACACAGTCCAGCATTGCACTAGTATGTACGCACGACTTGAAGAGAATTCAACACTTAAGTACAAAGTACAACTGATTGACGTAATGCAATTTTCACAAACCAGCTGCCACCGTCACAAGCGCATAGGAGAGGTTCGATCAGAAAAGAACCTTGAGATAAAAGATCTTTCCACAAACCACTCATGCATCTACTTAGACAACAGTACTCAAGAGCAATACCTGAGGAGTAATACGTATGATAATAAAATAAACCAATGCGATATAACAAGAGAAACATTAGCTTCTGTATTTTCTCATTTAGGCTACTTTTTAACATATATTTACAGCCACTCTTTTAGAATTTGTCTGTAGAGTTTTTGAATTGACATCAACAAAGTACTATAATAATACATACACAGCAATAAATATAATCAGCAAAACTAAAAAATCAATTACACATTGCAGTAACAGTACAACGTTCAAATCAACAGTCCAGAAAGTTCTGCAAGATTAGGCACTTAAGACTGGAGAGCACTTACAGCAATCGAAAGTGTTGTTCCAGCGACGGTTTGACATCTTTAACAATCGTAAAGGCAAACGAATGTACGTTGCATGATGTTATACATGTATCTGCATCTTATAAGTCACTGGATCCTCTGACAGCACATATACAGTCAACCACATCAACTAATGAACAAGTCACTATAAGGCTTCCTATGATTAATGATTATGTTACAAAATCCTCCAAAGCAGCAACCAGACAGTTCATTAAACCATATGCACATCAATATTTCAGAGACAAGATTAAAAAAATACGAACAATCTTGCAAAGACATGCAAAAAAATTTTTGGGTGGTGTTTGGCACGGAATATACTCTACGCAAATATGTTTATTTCCAAAACTTCTAGCAACAGGATGCTACTCGATTTCACAGTTTTGAAATGTGGGAAGTACAGCTTGCATTGTCAATGTTGCAACAAGGCGGCTATTGCACCTATTTACTTCCATTACTTCCTAGTTACTTCCGAATGAATAAAACAGTGATTGAATTAATGGTGCAGATATTAAAAGGAAACAATATTCCCCCTCGATTACTTAAGTTTGTACTCAAGCTTGTTTCCACCTCAGAATACAAAAATTATAAAACATAATTGTGACTTTGACATTATTTCTCGTAATTGTAACTTTTTATCTTATAATTTTGACTATTTCTCATAATTGCAACTTTTTTTTTCGTAACTGCAACAATATCTGTAAATCTCACAATTGCAACTTAGTTTCTTAACTTCGAATTAATAGTGTAATTGTGCATTTTATCACACAATTGTGACTATTTCTTGTAGTTGCAACAGGGTTATTATCGTTAACTAAAACTAAAAACTTTTTAAAACATTTTTGTTAATTGAAATAAAGATAAAACAAAATAAATATTAGATGAAAAACGTAAACTAAAGAAAAATCAGAAATGTTGCCTTGGCAACTAACAGAAATTGTTGAAAGTTGAAGCCCTAAAATTACTAATTAGAAATAAATAAACAAAAATTAAAATAAATAATAAATTAAACCTAAATGGTAAGATTAAAAAACACAAAAAATTTTAAAATGTGATTTTAATTTTAATTTAAATGTAAAAAAATTTCATTGAAAACATAAATGTACAGATATAAAAATATTAATAAAAACTATAATAATACTGTATATAAATAAAAAACTAAAATAACACTGAGTTGCATCTATTTCTTATAACTACACCTTTCCTCACAACTGTAAGTAATTTTTTAACTTCCTGTATTTTTTTTTAATCTGAGACAGATACAGTCTTTTACAGGTTTGCTACTGCTACAGAAACGCAAGAACACAAGTTACATATGTACAATAGGAAGCCTGCAATACATTGGCATCTACGTACCTGCGCAGAGTATGTTTCTGTCCTTCAGGCGGATGAAATACTGGTACGATTTCTATTCATAAAACTAAAACGAAACCCACAGAATAAACATTAAAACAACTCAAGGAGAGTAAAACCCTTGTTTCGCATAGTTTGAAGTTTAGTCCCTACCTACTATCAGGACTCACATGCTGTTGGGGTTGTAGCAGAGCATGTTGAGCTGCAGGTTCTCGTCCCAGTGTCTGAGGATGATGAAGAGTTGATTGGCCGCGGCTTTGACCGCCGCCAGGTCTCGGCCCTCTGGGATGATCTGTTCATCTAGCCACATGCTGGCCTTGGCTGCGATCAGCTCCCACTCGATGAAATAACTGGCCGAATTGTGTTCCAGCCAGGCCAGAGCAACAGCAGTCGCCCACACCATCCCCTCAGGGTCTTGCATGGCCCTTTGTAGGATCCCAGGTGAACCCAGCCAGGGCGTCTCGGCGATTTCTGACTCAGACCCCCGTCCACTGTCGTGCAAATAGTTGATAGGCGACGGCGGGGCTTCGGTCGACATCGACGAGAAGCCGCTCAACAGCGAGGGCTCGCCCTCCATCCGAGGGCTTCGGGCCTGGTATGAGGATGAAGACATGCGGGACACCAGTTCCTCACATTCGGAGTTCAAGTCCGAGTCTTTTGGAGGAGGCGATGAGCCATAGTGGACCTCCAGACTCTCAGAGCGCTGGGAGCCAGAGTGGGACACATGGGTAAGGCTGATTCTGTGGCTGGTGAAGGGCGACGTCCACTTCAGCTTGTCCATGGGCACGTTGATGGCATCACACAAGGCACTGTCCAACATGAACGCCCCACAGGACAGCTGCAATAACACCTGCAACAGGAAGTAGAAACCATAATGTCTATTTAATCAGTGCTTAGACACATATAAACAAGCTCAGAGACAGAACTTCAATGAGCCATTTAAGGTCTTTAAGCATTGTCAATTACATTAGCCTTAAAAATACGCTCTACTAATTTTGTTACGCCTCATCACTGTTTACTTTGAGTAATTGCCATGACCCATATATTCTACTCCAATAGCACATCTCATTTAACCAGACACAGCGATCATGAGATATTGATCAGTGCTTGTTAAATGTCAACAGATCTATTACTCACTATACGTAAAGACTACTGCTTCTGTGTGCAAGGTGAGTATTGACCGGCTATTTATAGGTTATGAGGCAAGTGGATGCAATACACTCAATGACATCATTATTACTAGTTGAGATTTGTCAGGCATTTTTTGCTGACCTTTTGAAGTCAACATGAATTGTTGAACCCATTTTACTCCCACAATGAGAAAAAAACATATGTATATACGTAAAAATGTATGTGTATATAATGTATACATTTACACACAATGTATTTACACTATATATATATATATACAGTATACTGTATATATACTGTATATATATAGTGTAAATATATTATGTATGTAAATGTGTGCGTGTATGTATATAATATTTACACATAATATATTAAAACTACGTTTAATATTTTATAATTTATAAATATATAAATATAGATACACAATATGTATATATTAGTATTGTAATTACTATATTACTAATTCCTGTATTACTATTATGTTCACAATTCAATAATTCTATATATAAATAAAATATATATGTATCTATTTAACTACACATTTCTAAATATATTATATATAATATATTATATATATTACAAATCATCCATGTATATGATAATCCATGTCTATAAATAATATAAATAACAAATGTAGATTTTATATTCATTTTAAACAGACACACACACACACATATATTGCATGTATTAAAAATGTCAATGGGGGCAATTTCAATTTCATGTTGACTCCAACTGTAAGTTCTGCTAAAACCACAGAGCATCAGCATCCTGAAAGCAGAATATGGCGACAGAAACCAGAGGGATGTAGTCCTTGTTGTCATTTTCGCTCTCTCCCACGGAGTTGCTGATTTTGCTCTGCGGCCGGCTCATGAAGCCCCTGGCGGCTTTCGTCAGGAGACGCGTCCTGCTCAGGCTCAGCTTGCTAGAGGCAAAAAGAAACAACACCTTTTACTCCGGTGCCTCACTGTCGTCATTAAATGCACAGACACGTCTAAAGTGTTTTTTCTTGGTGAAATCTGCCCCTTCACATCCATTAATTTGTGTAGTGTGCACACATCCCTGATAGCGCTGCTCCTCACGTTTTGGTCATTAGTTCAGCTGACATTTCAAGTGACAGCGAGAGGTGAAACTGTGAAAGAGATTCCAGACACGAAAGGGAAGTGTTTATTTTGGTGTCTACACTCTTAAAAATAAAGGTGCTTCAAAAGGTTCTTCAAGCGATGCCATAGAAGAACCATTTTTGGTTCCACAAAGAACCATTCAGTCAAAGGTTCTTTAAAGAACCATCTCTTTCTTACCTTTTTATAATCTGAAGAACCTTCTTTCGCCACAAAGAACCTTTTGTGAAACAGAAAGGTTCTTCAGATGTTAAAGGTTCTTCTATGGCATCGTGAAGCACCTTTATTTTTAAGAGTGTAGAGTACCATCTATCTTTTCTTTTAAATTTTGGATTATTGTATTTAAGATATGGGAATTTGAAAGGGATTAGTATATGATCCAGGCTGGATTTGAACCAATTATTTATCAACAAATAATACATTGCATTAACCATTTATTTAGATCACATAAAACTATTTGTGCATATCCTAATTAATATTCATGAGCCAAGCCTACAGTATTTAGTGACATCACCACCAAAAGCCCGCCCCCACAGCGTCACCCTGCAGTTAATTCACCCTATTCCAATGTTTCTTAAAGCCAAACGCTAATTAAAACTGAAACTGAGTGGTTGTGACTACATCCTCTAATTTTCACACTTCTTCAGATTATCCTTTACTTCATAAATTCACTTAAACTCAAGACGTTTAGGCTAATTTTTTTAAAGGAAAAAGCTAATAGCTAAACCTTTTACATCAATAGAACAAACACTTGCGAAAAGATAATGGTCACACTGACTCGTTTAATTGTAATAAAGCATTATGTACTTCACATCAACAGCAAAATGATTATAAAATAAACTAAATACCTGCATGAAACTGTCGTATTTTCAGTCTACGCATCTCCTGTCTTTAATTTTTTTTTAATAACTAATGAATGTCTGTTTTCTCTGAGAGTTGAACTCATTGCATGCACCCAACAGACTACCAAAAGCAATCAAAATGCAAATTCGACTCATGATTTAAAACAATGGCGCAGGAGCGATGCAAACTGCTGAATTATTCATTTGTGTTCTGTGAATTACAGTGTTTTTAATTGTGCAACTTGATTTGTAGGCTCTTTCCCCCATCTCGTTCCCTCTATCTACACCCACCTGGCGGAGAAAAGGCTCTCGACTGATCTCTGCGAGGGGTCGGAGGTCACCGACGCATTCCTTTGAGAGGCTGAAAGAGAGAGCAGGTTGGTTTCTGATCATTTCTATGCCCCAACACACACACACACACAAACAAATACACTGCACTCCAAGGCAAAGAGCACTCAATAAACTCATCCGTGCTCCTCTAGGTCAAATCTAATGAATGAATTCACGAGCTTGAGTGATTAATTCTGCTGTTTTTGGCATGCTTGAATACCTGCAAGACTTGTAATAACTGAAGTAACCAAGTGAATGCAGACAGGCGGAGAAAAAGTACCTTCAGAAGAGCTACATCGTTCCCAGCTGGAGGATGAGGGTGATTTGCAGGAGGATTGAGATGCATTGTCTACGTCTGTAGAGCAAAGAAGAGTTTTAGGGTGCAGACAGAAGTCCTTTTGACATCAGTTTGGTATGAAAGCTGTTTTCAGAACAAGCATTAAGGAATCACATCCAAAGTGCATTTGTAAATGGGTCTGAGATAGTTAGTTCATGTGGACTCCAGAAGAGTCTACAATAACATGCACTCTGTGTGTTTGTTTGGTCATAGCACCCCTGCTGGAGATTTTAGTAAAAGAAGTATTCTATATATTTAATCTATTTTAAAATGTAAATTATTCCCATAAGTGACGCAAAGCTGAATTTTCAGCATCATTACTCCAGTCTTCAGTTTCACATGATTCTTCAGAAATCATTCTAATGTGCTGATTTGCTGCTCAAGAAACATTTCTTATTACCAGTGTTGAAAACTGTTTTTTCGAATTTTTGTGGAGACTGTGGTACATTTTTTACATTTACTTGATGAATAGGAAGTTCAAAAGAACAGCAAAAGAAAAAAAAAAAGTCTTACTGACCCCAGATTTATGAACAGTATAGTGTATATTTTGACCAACTTGTCCCCAAACTGATATGGTATTCTCAGAATACTCTGACAATACATATAGTTTTGTGGGAGCTTTTGCTTCAGTTTTATGAGGCTACTGGGACTCTAATGAAGATTTGACAGTTTGTCAGTGAGGACCAGTGTTGGGGAAAGTTGCTTTTAAAAGTAATGCATTACAATATTGCGTTACTTCCTAAAAAAGTAACTAATTACGTTACTTATTTACTTTTTATTGAAAGTAATGCATTGCGTTACTTTTGCGTTACTTTTTTAATCTGGGCTGGGCTTGCTTGTTTGCTTTTAATATAAAAAGTTCTATTTTGGGCCAATGTAAAAGCCCTTTTACACCAACAGCCTCAGGCTGAAGGAAATGTAAATTCACGTCTGTACAGTAGAACACAGAAGAAGAAAGTTCAACACTCTTCAGCAATAAAAAAAGAAGAAATGTTAGTTTATCTTGTGTAATTTTTGGTTATTAGCTTATTAGTATGGTTGAATTGGATCACCGAAGGTCAGCAGCAAATTGGTTAATAAAATGGGATTAAATACATAAAGGATATTTGTATTATTGAAAATATTTAATTATTGCAGCTTTCAGTCATATTCTGAGTTGCGTTTAACTGTTTTTATTAATTTTGAGGAAAACTAAATCTGATTTTTTTGAGATTAATTCATTCATGTTCACATTTATTCTAGAACTAAAGTAACATCTTACTCCCGATTTCTCTCAACAAGGGGACAGGAGAGCTTTTGATCAATAAATAGGAAAAAAAAGTAACTGGTGTTACTTATTTGAAAAAGTACTTTACTAGTTACTTGAAAAAAGTAATCTGATTACGTACTCGTGTTACTTGTAATGCGGATCAATAAATAGGAAAAAAAAGTAACTGGTGTTACTTATTTGAAAAAGTACTTTACTAGTTACTTGAAAAAGTAATCTGATTACGTAACTCGCGTTACTTGTAATGCGTTACCCCCAACACTGGTGATGACTGTACACAAACTCTGTAAATCTGTTCAAAATTTCCCAAAAGCATATACATATTTGACTGTAGGCCAAGTTATCCCAAAGTTATGATGTTTTTGAGCATTTTTGTGACATTTAACCAGTGGCACTGTCAATGAACTGCTTGGCTACCAATTGTCATTGCCACCCAATGCACTCAATAGACCAAAGCATTGGAAAAATCTTTCATGCAATATAAAAATCTAATTATTTATGATCCATCAATATTCCATCCCATAACTCCACACTTGTAAACAAGCCCAAATGTCACTATTTTGTTATCAATCTTACTGTAGCATAGTGCTGCATCTTCTTGCCCAGGCAAACCTCCTGACTGCGAACGCCCCAGACCTACAGAGTAACCTCGGTTCTTCCTGCTGCCGGAACGAGAACTGCAGTGCGAACTTCGTTTATGATCCTCTCCTGGAAATAAACAAATATACAAGGAGTCATTACCATGATCTAATTGTGTGCTTAAGCCAGGAACAACTGCTTCGTCTGTTTCCCTGCACTCCTCCCTGTTTTCTTCCTTCTGAGGAAAGTACAGTGTCGTTGACGTAATTATTGCAACTGCCAGGCCTTGTGAGTTCAGATGAATTCGAAGAATGACCTACCAGGATGGCTGTACTCAATGAAGGTGGGTAAATATTCATTGCTGTCCAGATCGATAGGTACAAATGCGGTGTATTTGCTCAAGACGTTGCAGGCTTTGCTCGTGTGGATGGCGTAAAGCTGGTGCCTTCTCCCAGAACCTACAAGAAATTATATAGTTGAGGGATTTGGTTAGATACTCAAGTAAGTTGGATGTTTTAATATTTGGCAATTCGACTCCAGTTCCTTACCATGCTCAATCTCACACTCTTTGTCCGCCATGTGTTCAAAGTCTTGAATAATGGAGCTTCCCGCCAGGTGATTATTTTAAAATATATAAAACATAGAAAACAGGTATTTTAAACTGTAATCATATTTCACAATATTACTATTTTACTGTATTTTTAATCACATAAATATAGCCTTTGTGAGCAAAGGAGACAAAATATTTTTCAAAAACATTTGAACTATTCTAAAAAATATCTATCAAATAATCTTTTGACCACTGCATTTCTATGACTTTTCCATGATCTTTCCAGTCGAATTTAAAAATAATTTTATAGAGATTTCTGGGAAATTCAATGCATATACCAGGTTTGAATACTTGGAGTTTAAACTTTTATACTTAGAAGTATACAAATGTCAAAACAACCTTCAACAGACAGACTGATATTATCACCGCTGGACTGTTGATAGCTGATGAAAAATGTTAGAGGCATACAAAATCAGAAACATTCATATTCACTATTGCTTTTTTTTTGTCAGAACAGATTTTACAACTACAGCTGATTAGCAGATTCAGGAGTATTTTCTCAGTCTGAGCTCTCTGTATATTGTTAAGTGCTACTACGCCCACACTGTGCAGCTGATTATGGGTTTTTAAATGACAGTGTTAAAAGCCGGCTTAACTCTTAAACCAAGCAGTGCTAAGATTATAATGCATCAGAAGTTCTTATGCTCGAGGACTGTAGTGAAGGACCAACCTGCATCGCCGGTGCTGCCTAGAGAAGGGCTGTCAGTTGAAGACCTGGAACCGTCTTCCACTACTGGGCCGGGATGGGTCTGATCAATCTTAGACTCCCCCTGGAGACCCTCTGGTTGTTGCACTGGAGGTTTGTGAGCACTTATGGGACGTCCTCTTGAGGTCGTGGCACACAGGCTGGCCAACTGTGGCTGTTGGAGAAATGAGTAACAGTTCATTAGTCCTTTTGCTCACTGTACTTGAATTACCTAGTCCAAAATGGCACATTTGATGTAGACATTTATCTTCTAATGTTGAATATTTAATTGTTCTTGCCTATTTTAAGATTCAGATCATCATCTAGCAATAACTCAGGCACAGTTATAGATTATGGCAAATATTTAACCCTTTAAGAGCACTCAAATATCTGTTGAAGGGTACTTTCCCTTTAAGAGAGCATGTAATCTTAGCTGCGTGTATTTGTGCATAAAAATGCATTTATTGGGAAAAAAAGTTCATTTATTGGGAAAAAAGTACAAGAATATAAGACATAACACATACAGAATATAGGTTTATAATATTAAACACTTATCAGTCATAACATAATTATAAATACAGGTATATTAAATATTATGCCTATATTTTGAATTATTTAATATGCCTGTATTTAAAATTATTATTTAAAAATAAAAGATATAAATAAAAATAATTTCATTATAATGTTAAAATGCAAATATTATTTCAAAGATAACATTTAAATTATATTTTTTAAAAATCAATCAATTAATTAAAATATTAAAATGTATATTCAAATAATACTATAATATACACTACCGGTCAAAAAATTTGAATAATTCCTATTTTTTTATGTTTTTGAAAGAAGTGTCTTTTGCTCTGCAAGGTTTCATTCATTTGATGAAAAAATACAGTAAAACAGTAATATTTTGAAATATTACTGCAATTTAAAAGAACTGTTTACTATTTTAATATATTTTAAAATTGTATTTATTCCTGTAGTGCAAAGCTGAATTTTCAGCACCCATTACTCCAGTCTTCAGTGTCGCATAATCCTTCAGAAATAAAACAAACAATATTTATAATAGCTCTTTTCCGGTCATTTACTAGTAGTAAACATTTTTGAAACATTACTGGAAAAAATTTTATTTAAAAATAATTACATTAAAAAAGAAATATTCAATATATATTAAATATATATACCAGGATATATATAAAATATTAAAATATACAAATTATTAATATTATAATATAGACTTGATTTTTTTGACAGGTTAACTCAGAAGTACAATATAAAGCACATTTTTAGGTAACCCCACAAATTATTTTACCCATCAATGTATGGACATGGCATCAGGATAGTTATAAATTGCTCGTTTCCTGAACTAAAGAAAAATCACAGTGCCACAGTAATGGTGCTAATGCTAACAACTCTGAATGGTTTTCTGTGCCTGCACTTATCATGCAGATTTCCCATTGTACTTTCCAGCATGAAGGCAACATGTAGTGAAAGGAAATCTTTTTTCCACCTCATGTAGAGGGAATTTATGAACCCAGTGATTCTTTGAGTCGCCAGAATCATGCCAGTTCCTACAGCCATGGCTCTCTGTTCACTTGGGTCTAATGGCAGTTTGGTTCATGAAAAATTTATGCCTGCTGAAGAGCTAATAAGGACCATTAAATGTCATTACTGCATGCATTGAGGGGAAATCAAGGACTCTTGTTATTGCCGTAGCTAATCTGTAATATTTCTCACTCCCTTTTTGATCAAATTTCCACACGGGCAATTGCTTGCAGTGCCGAGTGTCACCCAGACTATTGATATCTTCTCCCCTTTCAAAGAGCGTGACATTGGAAATTTTATCGTGGCCATCAAGGGATTTGTCACAGTTGTCAGAACTAATTGTAATTTATTCCACCTCATGTAGAGGGAATTTATGAACCCAGTGATTCTTTGAGTCGCCAGAATCATGCCAGTTCCTACAGCCATGGCTCTCTGTTCACTTGGGTCTAATGGCAGTTTGGTTCATGAAAAATTGATGCCTGCTGAAGAGCTAATAAGGACCATTAAATGTCATTACTGCATGCATTGAGGGGAAATCAAGGACTCTTGTTATTGCCGTAGCTAATCTGTAATATTTCTCACTCCCTTTTTGATCAAATTTCCACACGGGCAATTGCTTGCAGTGCCGAGTGTCACCCAGACTATTGATATCTTCTCCCCTTTCAAAGAGCGTGACATTGGAAATTTTATCGTGGCCATCAAGGGATTTGTCACAGTTGTCAGAACTAATTGTACCCTGGACGACAAACGCAAGTGTCTGGATGTTCAATCTGTCTCTTGGCAGGGTGTCAGCAATGTGGGAATATCACTGAACTCATTGAATTCGATAAACAATGTCATAAAATAGGAGAGATAAATACAGGACATGTCATTATTTTGTCAGCCAGCATGCTGAAGAAAGCGCAATTACTCAAAAATAAATCCTTTTTTAAAAGAATGAATTCATATTAATTATTTCATATTATTAAATAATATTTAAATAAGTATTTGTAATAAATACTTTTTAACTCTATTTGCACATGATGTTAATATTATTTAAATATTGTTTAAATTTTTATATTATTTAAATATGTTGTGTAAATACATATTTAATTCTTTATATTATTTAAATTAAATTATACTATTTATACTAAAGTACTGCTTTTTAATACAAAATTAATAAATATTAAATTTTTTATATTATTTAAATTTGCCAATATTATAAAACTACTAAACTAACATGGAAAAAAGTATTGCTTATTAAATAATATATTTTTTTTATGTAATTGTTTATGTTATTTAAATATGTTAATATTTGTATAATAGTATTTAAATAATAACAATAACAATAAACACAGTTTGATTCATTTTACCACATAAAGCACATTTATGGTAACCTGACAAGGCAACCCAAAATATTGAGGAATGCGACAACTAACATGAAAACATCTTGCTAATTTAATCATATTTCAATTAAATAAATATTTAATTGTTTATAGTATTTAAATATGTTAACATTTAAATAATACTACTACTAACATAGAAAAAAATATTATCAAATTATCAAATATTTAATTGTTTATATTATTTACAGTAAATATGTTGCATTTATATAATACTATTTAAATAATAAATATCAATATTATTGGCTTGAATAAACCCAATTTAACTCATGTTACATTTTACATTTTACAACTCAAGCACATTTTATGTAACCTGACAAAAATATTACAGGGTGGGCACCAAAAATGTTGAGCAATGTAACTACAAAACAGAGAGCTAGAAAGGTACTGTAGTCTATTAGTATAGCCTCGGTTCAATAAGCATATAAGCATCCTTAAGTTTCCTCAGGAGGTCTGTTGTAAATGGGGAGTTCAGCCATTCAGCTCTACGGCCATTCAGCTCTACTGTCATGCAAGACATGAGTACGGCCATCATTATCAGTCACAAAGGATGCACACCTCTCCGTTGTGGTCTTGATTACATATCAATTTGTCTTTAGGTCAGGGATATTTTTGGCCTCATTATTTTGGCCCAGTTCAAACACTGGCGCATCTTTTGTGACGTCCGCCAACCTTTTTTCTCCCACTGGACTCCAAAGGTGCATTTATTTTTCAGTGCGTGGGTGCGCATCACAAAAGAGTACACCTAAAAACATATTTCCTTTATGTACATTCTTCAATAGCTTAATCGTCCAGGGAACTGTAATTTATCTTCCACTGGCTATGCAATCTAAACTCTATTTATGTGGATGTGGCGGTAAGAAGATTGAATTACATTCTCATCAAAGAGCTCAGAAATGAGTTCAAATAACCCTTTGGAACAAACAGACGAATCCATGGAGCTCTTCTCATATCATAGCAGATGCTTGGGCTATAGCAGATGGCACGGCGAAGGCTGCCTACAGATATTACTTATAAGGAAAACAACTACTTCCTAAATAGAAGCTGTCTGCTTTGTGTCAAAACACACAGGCACAAAGGGGATTACAGATACAAATGTTGTCTTATCATTTACAAGTTATGATGTTTATTGCTTACTCAGGATATGTATTATAAGATATGATCATTCATAAAAAAAGGCACATAATGTTTATGAATCTCCACTGGACCAGAAACAATTACCCAAAGAGCACAAATGCAGACATTAATACTTCACTCTAAAAAATGCTGGGTTAAATACAACCCAATTGCTGGGTTTGTCCCTATTTTACCCAGCACTGGGTTGTATTTAACCCAGCATTTTTTAGAGTGTTGGCCAAAATGGTCTCCTCGCTCATATGTGACATAAGAATGTCTGATTCATTCTAGTCAATCGCTTTGTTTGGATGAGTAATTTCAAAGCAAAGTCTCATTCATGGAAAAATGTTGTGGTATTGGGAAATCTGATTCATTCTACACTCTAAAAAATGGTGGGTTAAATATAACCCAGCGCTGGGTTAATAAAGAAATATTTGTAATATATATTTATATAAACATATGTCTGAGATAAATATATAAATATTTACATTTATATATATATATATATCTATACATACATACATACAGTATATACATGTATGTGTGTGTATTTATACATAGTATAATTGCAGAACGATGGATATATTTAAGAATAGATGGATGGATGGATGGATGACTTACTGATTTGGGGTTGGAGTGATATCGGGAGGTATCACAGACCACGCTGTATCCAATCAGCCGGTCACCAGGGAACAGACAGCTCACCCCGACTGGAGAGAGCAGGATCTCCTTTGTCTCTGGATACAGCCACTCAATGGAGATGTCAGTCAGCACTGAGGTCATGGACTTCTTAAGCGACTTAATCATCTGCCAAAGAAACAAATAACAGCCAGGTCAAACACTACCTAGTGAACTCAATCAAGAGAGCACAGTCTATAGAAATAAAACAGGGAAAATATATAGATGCTAGTCTTAAACACCAGGGAGAGAAGGAAAAAACATTAAATGTGCTGTCAGCTTTGATCATTATCCTAATTCATGTTTGACTAAACAAAACAAATTGTAAATTGCTAATACATTTGGACACTCCAATTTATGTGGCTGCTGTAATTGCTTTGCGGTGACATTCGAAATAGCAGACTGTTGCACTGGAAGATAAACATGTCAGAGGAAATGAGGACCTTGGGCTGCAGTCGTTCTCCTTCTGCCAGGAACTCAGCTGTGCCTCTGGAAACGGCGGCCAGTCCTAAAACCAGCCTCCTGCACGCACCCTGGCCTATACCGAATGTGTAACACCTGCCATGATGCAAACACACACACAGAGAAATGACAGGTGCGGTGAGTCTGTGAAAACATCAGAAGAGCATCACATTATGAAGAAACTGCATCTCTACTGGGTGACGCTCTGCCAGACAACATCAGTCTAATTCTCTGAACTTTATTGCTTTATTAATTCTGTGATTGGCAAGCGTGCTGTCAGAAAGACAGGAAGAAACTTATTCATATTGTTTATTTGAATCTTCTTCAGCAACTAACATAGATTGTGCAACTCTGTCTACCGCCTACATAGGCAGCTGCCTTCTAAGGAAGCATCCGTACTGAAACTGTCTGATTAAGAACGCTCTATATATAGGCTGCAACTGCATACGGCACACAAACGGCACTCCTCAACAGAGACTTACAGTACAACGATGCTGAAAACTGTTTAACCGGCCTAAACTGATTTACATGGTTTACGCTAAAAGACCAACCTGAAAAATGACTAAAACCCCACTAAAACCTGCAAACAGACCAACAAACCAACTTGGTTTTAGAGTATTGTTTCCAATACAGTTTCATGTTAGCATGTTGCAAAGCTGACAACACAATATTCTAATGAGTATAAATTACATAAACTAATAAAAAACAAAAAATACTACATACCAGTATTGGGTACAACAGTCCATTTTTCATTAGATTGTATTATTTTTTTAAATAAATCTATATTTCTATATTTTCCATAATAAACAAGATGTAAGTAAATATATACTCAAAGGGATAGTTCACCCAAAAATTATATTTCTGTCATTAATTACTCACCCTCCTTCGCCCATCTTTGGAACACAAATGGAACACATCTTTGGAACACAAATGACCCTCCATAGACAGCAAGGGAACTACTACGTTCAAGGCCCAGAAAGGTAGTAAGGACATTGTTAAAATAGTCCATGCGACATCAGTGGTTCAACCGTAATGTTATGAAGCTACAAGAATACTTTATGTGTGCAAAGAAAACAAAAAAAATGACTTTATTCAACAATTCTTCTCTTCCGTGTCAGTCTCTGCCACCATTAATTTGTGTTTCGAAGATGAACGGTAAATGTCTTACAGGTTTGGAACGACATGAGGGTGAGTAATTAATGACAGAATTTTAATTTTTGGATGAACTGTCCATTTAATATACAGTACATCAATGAAACAAAATGACTACGTACCAGTACTGGGTACAACAGTCCCTTTATCATTACACTTTTTATTCCTAATACATTTTTCCCCCCTATTTCTATTCATAATGAGCTATATATAAGTAAATATATAATAAATGGAAAAAAATACTGAAATAAAATACTACATATTAGTTTTAGGTACTACATCTATTTTTCATTAGACTTTTAAAAACTAAATTTTATATAATATCTAATATAAAAATACATAAAAATAAATTACTACATATGAGTATTGGGTACAATATAGTAAATTTTCATTTCATTTTTTAAATACATTTATTTATGCATTTCTAAGTGTGTAAGTACATAAATATACATAAATACAAATAAAACCGTTATATATAAATAAATACAAAATAAAAAAAAATTCTTGATTCTTGACTGTGAATGATTTCAGTGACCTTGTCCATTCTTAGATTTTCTTTACAATTTGGGCAAAGCTATGTAAGCTTAATTTTTCATGTCATTGTATTCTGCGATGTGCACAACATCAGTAAAATGTCGCCACTGATGCTAATTTCAGGCATGAAGATATGCTGTCTTACTACAGTGCCTATGATGCATTAAAATGCTGTCTAGGTAGCTGATATATTGAAGTTATATTTGAGATTTCTACAATCTCTAGATTTGAGAGATTGTAAAACATACCAGCTCTAATACACAGTATCTGAAGACAAACAGTAGTAATTGACGATGAGTGACCTTCAGTGTAGGCAGCAACATCTGCGTGCGAGATATGAGAGAACAGGGAACACATCTGTCCATTTACTAAAGTGTGGATGGGCAATCAGATCAGCTTGCTGAGAAAGATTCTTCCCTAACGAGCAAAGAAAGCCGAGTCGTGTCCTCACAGCAGAGAAACGGAGTGCAGCAAGACACATTTATGATTGTTCTCGATCGTCTGTGGAGGGCAAGTGCTGTTTAAGGCAGTAACTTACACCACAGCTTCATTTCCCAGCCATCGTGTGTCTATTGAACTGTTAAAACCCACAGGTTCTTCCATTCATTTGAAAGAAAGCTATTGTAGCATCTGTTCTAGGAGGACAGGGAAGAAAATAAGTGCTTCTCTGAGGTGAACGTCTCGGAAGGTGATAAATTGACTGGAAGCCTCGCGGAAGCAGCATAGTGTGGAAACAAAGCCTGTGATAACAGCCGCTTTATGGCTATTGTGGATCTAAAAGGATTAGACGGAGAGACAACAATTTACTGTTTCTAGCGGCTGTGCTGATCGGATTATGATCTGATTACCTGAATTCTGCCGCTCTGTATCCTTGAACCTCTGATATTAAAGGATTTGTTCACCCAAAAATTTAAGTTTTGAATTATGACTCATTTAATCAACAAATCGTTCCAAAATCTTATGGCTTTTATACGTGGAAAATAAAATAGGATATTTTTAAAACTGTTCAAGCTGCTCTTTTCCATATAAATGATAACATATTGTGATCAGGGGCTGGTAAGCACTAAACAGGCACCATATTAATCCATATATATTAATGTGTGATTTGAGCACTATATTCCAAGTTGTGATACTGCATGCTATTCAGTATGATCTATTATTATCTGTTTAGCATATTCTGCAGAGCTGGTTCACACAAAACTGATTATTCTCTCATCATTCACTCACCCTTTATTGTCAATATTTAACTTTACATGGTGCAAATTCTCCAGTTACATGCATGTCCTTAAGTATATTTTGGGGAATAATTGTAAATCTAAAAAAAACATTTAAATTGAGTCACAGTTCGGATCTGATCTGATTTAGAGTTCACAATCAGTGCTGTTATTATCTAAAACTACAACTAGTAAAAATTGCTTTTAGAAATTGAAATAAAGCTGAATAAATAAATATTAGATGCAAAACTTAGACTTATACTATACAAAACTTAAAACTTATTCTGAAATAAAATAAGTTTAAGTACAACAATTACCAAAACTGAAATAAAGAATTAAAGGTAAATAGAATTTAAAAAAGACAAAAGCACATAAAGTTACTAAAACTTCAACTAAAATTAAAACAAAAATAAATAGATATAAATATTTACTATAATAGCACATAAATAAACAAAACAAAAAATAGGATTCCAATCTTTCCAATTCCAAATGTCCTAAATGTACCAAATGTTTAGATTAATACATTAGCACAACCTTTTAATTAAACAGTATAATCATGTTTGATAAACACAGATTAAAATGCAACAGCACATTATACAGTAGAGCATGGCGCTAGCAACACCGAGGTCATGGGTTCGATTCCCAGTGAATGCATGAACTGATCAAATGTACACCTTAAATGCAATGTAACTTGCTTTGGATAAAAGCATCTGCCAAATGCATGAATGTGAATGTACAAACACTGACCTGGTGAACCTAGCGTGGCTGCGGAGCAACTCAATAACTTTCCCCGTGTTACTGACGGCTCCGTCGGTCAGGAGGAAGAGCAGGCGAGGATGACCTCTCTGCATGGGCTGCCGTAGGATCCAGTTGAGAGGAGCCAGTATGTTTGTGCCGCCCATGTCAGCGCGGATCTTCTTCACATGCTCACAAGCCAACGCCAAGCTCTCCTGTGAAATAAATGAGGTTTATTAACAAATAAAAATCAGAATTTTTATCATGTTTTGTGTTTTGCCAGATCTACCATATCTAAATATATTTAAAACAAGATATATTTACTTGAGAAACAAAAATGTTTAAGATAAGACAATACTTAATTATATATATATATATATATATATATATACAGTATATATATATATATATATATATATAATTCTTTATAGTCCACTGTCAAACCTTTTCAAAAACCTCATTAAATTTCATTAGATTTAAGCTTAAAAGAAAAAAAAACTATTTGCTACAGAGATAACAGAGATAAATAAACATGCTGCTTATTAAGTTAATTTTTCTTATCCCACTGGCAGATTGTTTTTTTTATTGTTTTAAGCATAAAGTCACTTCATTTTGCTACATTTTTCAGAAAACAAGACTTAATACTTTTAAGTAAATTGTCTACAAGTAAATATATCTTGATTTATGAATATTTATATATTTGTACTGGAAAACAACACAAAATACTGACAAAGAAAATCATTTTTTTGCAGTGCACTGATTAAGCAGTGTTTTTATAAATGATGTACCAAGTGCGAAACTTTACTTGAAGTTCATTCTATAAACCCAGACCTTATCCACTGGAAAACACAAGCACTGATCCTCTGGACAGTAACTGCTGATCTAATGAGGGCAGTGAGTGTGGACGCTGACTGCGGGTGACTAACCTCATTGTAGCTCTGGCTGGTGACAAACAGCGTTTTGAACTTAGATCCGAAGCCCACTATGTTGAATAAGCATGCTGGGAAAAGACTTTTCAGAATCACGACCATTGCATCCTGTGAAAGCACAAAAAAGGAAGAGGTCAACGTGAATGATTCTGCATTACTTATTAAAAAAATATGTTCACAATCATTAAAAGGCATTAACAGAGATTACAGACATTTGCCATTTAACATTGCTTCTTATGTAAAGCAACTCTCATTAACCTAATTACAGGGTTAAGTGCCGTAACCATTATAAACACTGAGGGTGACCTGGTTCCCCAAATGTTTGGATTAGTGGTTGATCACTAATGGCATTTCAACTGTGTCACCCTTGCATGGATTGAACCAACAATCTTTGGTAGCAGACCTGGAGCCATTAGACAACAGTGTAGCAGCGCTCACTGAACACCTCAATTATACTGGTCAGACATCCATTCTGTCTCATCTGAAAGTAGAGATATCATTTATAATGCTGCTTCTCGACAGATTCACAGCAGGTACAGCAGCGAGTAATTAGCATGAGGTTATAATTAAGTTTGTAAATATGAATGAGATATGAAGAAGAGCATTTTCACAGTTTTCACAATGATATGGTCTGAATTAATTAAGAAACTAATCACCAGTTTTGTTCTAATAAAAAAACAAGTCTATCTTCACCAAACACTTCCACACAAATTCAAACAGAACTTGACAGACAATGAGAAAATATACTTAGTAATTAAAGGGATAGTTCAACCAAAAATTATTATTAAAAAATAGTTTTGGTTTGTTTTTCTGTGGAAGAAAATAGGAAAAAATAGATAAATAAATAAATTTTTCCCATGCAATTACAAAGAATAGTGGCTTTCAAGCTTCAAAAATGCTCAAAACCACCATAAAGTATAATAATTTACTGAAAAAGTTTTCATGAGAGTTCTTTCAAGAGATGTCTTTTGAGTCAGATACAAAATGTATCTGAATGATTCATTCACGAATTGCACTGATTCACTTCTTGAGGTCAACTCACTAAATAATGATTTAAAGGAACAGTTCACACAAAAATGAAATTTTACTCACTCACTGGAGGAAGTGTTACTATAGATTATGGATTCGTATTTTGTCCAGAAGTGACCGTTTAAAGTTAAAATTCCTTAAAGATGGATTAGTTTCTTACAAACGAGCAGCTTTTCACTTCTCAAGATGTTAACTGATGGTCTGGAGTGGTGTGGATTATTGTGATGTTTTAATCAGCTGTTTGGACTCTCAATCTGACGGCACCCATTCACTGCAGAGGATCTAATGGTGAACATGTAATGCTAAATTTCTCCAAATCTGTTCAGATGAAGAAACAAACTAATCTACGTCTTGGATGGGCTAAAGGTGAGTACATTTTCAGCATATTTTCATTTTTGGGTAAATGCATAGCAGAAATGACCATCACAATTCTTAAAATGTCTCTGTTTGGTGTTCATTCTGTCAAAATGTTCATTTCTGGGTGAACGATTCCTTTCAGTGTTATTAGACACATCTACTGTTGTCCTCCTCCAGCCCAGAAGGGATCATATATGACATTTCAGCATGGAGCAAGTCTTCTTCAGAGTCAAGGATATTCTGGGAAGGATATTACCACTAGAGTGACCTGAGCCTTTAGATTAGAGCAGTTTGGTGTCTGTGGTCAGAAGGGGAACATCCTCAATCAAAACCGCAGTAAGTCTTCGCTGGTTCGTGCGTCACGCTGCAGAGCCCCATCAACAGGGAACACGTGCACACGTGCTCGCTCACAGCGCACAAAATCTCCAATCTCAGCATGAAGACTTACCTAGTTCAATTATCGTACCTGCTTGAGCTATTCAATGCAACAAGCTGGTTATTTCATCACAAAACCCCTTCAACAGGCTGCTCAAAAGCTCTGATTTGATTCAGAACTACAAAGCCGCATAATGTTCGGTAAAATAATGTAACAAAAATAATTAAAACAAACAAACTACATGTTTATTTCAGCTTATGAAATTAAAAATATCTCAACATGTACACAACAGTTCAATAGTTTGGGGTTAGCTTGGATTTTTTTATGTTTTTGAAAGAAGTCTATTATGCTTACCAAGGTTGCATTCATTTAAGCACAAAATACAGTAAAAAAAAGTAAAATTGTGAAATATTATGTAACATAACATATTTTTGTAACATTATAAATGTCTGTACTGTCACTTTTGATCAATTTAATGCATCCTTTCTATATGAAAGTATTCATTTATTCCTAAAAATTGTAACTGACCCCAGACTTTTTGATTGGTAGTGTATTTACTCTAAAACAGTTAGATACAACATGTTTATGCAAAGGTTAAAAATTAAGGCATGTTTCTCACACTTTTTATTTATCTTTATAAGCCATCCAAAAGCCATATGGGGCCTTAAGTGAACATTTTAGAATGACGATACAAACAAATCACTGAAGTTTTCACGCTGTTCAGTGAAACATATTCAACTGATTTTGCTACTCTGAGAATTTAATTCAGTGACTCTATTAAAACATCTCTGTCTTAACGCACGCATTGTGAGAACAAGAAAGTTGCAAGTCACAAAACAATAAAGTATTCTGAAACATGATGGTTTAAAAGCATAATGGACGAAAAAGTGCATTAAAATTACTTAAAATTCACAATCTTGTTCAATTTAAGATCTTCAGCAAAATCATTATGAATACTTTGTGAATATTAAATATATTGCCCATCCAGCCCCGCCTATTGTTTAGATCTGTTTTGGAGTGTTTTCTCTTGTAAGCGGTGCTTGATCTGTGCATATTTCTCTGCTGATTCACTTTTTTCTTCACTGAATCAATATTGTGGATAGAGGACTCATATTTTAGCCAGTGGTAACAGTTTAAAGTTAAAAAACGTCTTAATTTGTTTCTGACAAACATGCAGCATTTCACTTCACAAGACATTAATTGATGGACTGGAGTCGTGTGGATTATTGTGATGTTTTTATCAGCTGTTTGGACTCTCATTCTGACGGCACCCATTCACTGCAGAGAAGTGATGTAATGCTACATTTCTCCAAATCTTTTCTGATGAGGAAACAAACTCATCTACGTCTTGGATGGCCTGAGGACGAGTACATTTTAAGTGATTTTTTGGGTGAACCCTCCAACTCCCATAAACTGCATAAAACCATCCAATCAGACTGAAACTGCTGAACACACGTGGGCGATCCGTCTCGTCGTTAAATAAGCACTGCTGTGTGTATATAAAAACCCATTTCCATTAATGGTTATTAACACGACTGAAGCACTTTGTGGTTTTAAACTGCACAATAAATTAAGATGTCATCAAAAGTTAATGAGCATTGGGAGTGAGGGGCAGATTTAGTTTAACACAGAAACACATGCATCCTACCTTAACTCGATTGATGTTGACCCCACTCATGCTTCCACTGCGGTCAATGAGAAAGATGAATTCCCCCTGGATGCTCCGCAGGTCAGAGGTCGTTGAACTGAGGTTTGGGCAGAAGTTCAGCATGACCACGGGGTTGTGGAGGATGTCTTTATGGAGCCTCTTCCGAATGATGTCCACCTACACACCACACATCAGCCAGTGAAAGAGCCATTATTGAAGGCGATAATAAAAAAGCTGGTGAATCTCACAAAAACATGTCACATTAAAACAACTAAATTTTAAAAATTAAAAAAAAAACATAAGAAGTTAAATTTTTTCTTAAACAAAATGAAGCCATTTTTAGGAACTTTAAGAGATTGGTTGCATATTATTTCTGCATCATTATCATACAATTGAGCACATTTTATCAATTTTTTATTTAAAACAACAAAGTACAGCAAATCAAATAAATTTTAGAACTGAAATATATCATATAACTTTTTTATAATAGTATACTTTATAGATAGCAATACATATGATGGCAATTTAATGAAAAAATGTGCATGATTGTCATAAAAATGTCAAATGGTAATTTTTGGCATATTTTACATATTATTATTATATACTATAATAAAATATGTTTGGTATATATAGAAATAATATGCAATATATATATGTATATATACTATACATATAAATATATATACTATATATATATATATATATAGTATTTCATTTAGTTTATGTTTGTGTGTGTGTGTGTGTGTGTGTGTGTGTGTGTGTGTGTGTGTGTGTGTGTGTGTGTGTGTAAAAGTATTTGTGTTTTTTTATATAAT